ATTCTATTTCACCAGCTCATTCTCATGTAATTAATCTCTCTTCTGTTGAATCTACAGTGTTACTGTGTTCCAATTTTCCCGTTTAAATTCTAGAAGTTAACATTCAACATTATTATTGATATTTCTGGACTTGTCCCTACCATTAAGTTGATCATTTTCTTGGTTGTTTTTTGTTCTCTTATTTCTGTGTATCAGTCTTTAGTTTTCCTGGTACAGCACTCCTTTCAGAACTTCCTGAAGAGTTGGTCTGGTGTTGGTAAATTCAGATTTTATTTATCTGAGAATGTTTTTATCTTTTCTTCCCATATGAAGGATAATCTTGCTGGGCATTCTTGGTCGAAATTGTTTTTCATTTAACACTTTGAATATATTTTACCTTTCTTTCCTTGCTTGCATTGTTTCCAATGACAGGTGCAATGTTAACCTGATGGGATACCCTTTATAAATAATTTGATGTTCCTCTTACCAATTTTAGTATCCCGTCTTTGTGGTTTTGGCCAACCTGGCTATGATGTGCCTTGGAGAAGATCCTCTTGGGTTGATTCTATTTAGTGTCCTTTGTATTTCTTGGATCTGGATATTTGAATGCTTCTCTAGTTTTGGAAAATATTCTTCCAGGATTTTATGGAATAGATTATCAATGCCTTTATTAGTTTCTTCAACTGCTAGGATATGCATCATCTGGATGTTTGGGCTTTTAATGGTATTTAGTATTTCTCGTATATTATTCTCTTTTTTGGGGGGGGGTTAGTTTCTCTGTCTTTTTGGTGATTGTTTTTTAGGTCAGAAGTTTTGTCTTCTACATCTGAGATTTGATCTTCTGCATGATCTAATCTGCTGATAATAATTTCAAGAGAGGTTTTGATTTCCTGTATTACAGCCTTCATCTCTAACAATTCCATTTGACTCTTTTTTATGGTGTGTATTTCTTCTTTGAAGTTGTGGAAGGACTTCTTCACCTCCTGGAACTCATTGTCTCTTTTCTCTTGCATTTTCTAGAGTTTGCTGTCTCTCTTCTCTTGCATCTCGATTAGTTTTGTCACTATGAATATTCTGGATTCTTTATCTAACATTTCCTTGAGTTCCATTGTATTGTCTGTGGATGATGAGGAGTTGTTCTTTTCCATTGGGGGAGAGCTATTTTCTTGGTGTCTCATATTTCTTAAGCCTCTGCAGTGGTTTCTGGTCATCTGATGGATTATATATTTCTTCTCATTTCTTTGTGTTAATTCTGAGCATTCAAAGGTGTGTGGGAGAAGATGATCCACAATCTCTCTGCAGTTCCATTTCCCTGATGCTCACCAAGCAACCTGCACTTTTGTCATTAGAAATAAATATTATAAAGGCCTCCCGATTTCTAGAGAACAGGTGCACCTAGGCTGAGCTTCAGGATTTCAATGGAGAGTTCAGAAGCATGCAGGAGGAAATGAGTTGTTCTCTCTGCAGCTCTGTCCTTCTTCCTGATGCTCACTCTGCAATCTATTCAGATGTTTGGCTACTGTGCACCTAGCCCTGTCTACCTTTTTGGCTACTGTCACTGTCCTGTCTACCTTCTTGGGTCTGGAGAGTGAAGTTAGAGCAGAAAATCTTCAGTTGCCCTAGTCCCTTAAAGGGGCAGGGCACAGCTCAGATGTAGATAGCTTCAAAAAGGGCCTGTGATTTGCCTGTCCTGTCTACCTTTTTGGGTCTGGAGGGTCAAGTTCCATCTTGACTATTTTTAAGTTGTGTTAACTACATTCACATTGCTGTGCAATATATCTCTAGAACTTTTTCGTATTGCTGAACAGAACTCTATACCCATTAAATTAATCCTCCTATTCCTCCCTCCTTTGAACCCCTGACAACCACCATCCTATTTTCTGTTCCTATGACTTTTGACTCTTTAGTTACTCTTTCGTTTATACAATTGCAATCATACAATATTTATATTTTTGTGATTGGCTTATTTCACTTGGTAAAATGTTGTCAAGTTTCATTTATGTTGTAGTATGTTTCAGAATTTCCTTTTCTTTTAAGGCTGAATAATATTTCATGTATGTAATGCCATGTATATATGTGTGTATGTATATGTGTGTATATATGCGTGTGTATATTTATATATGTTTATTCATTCATCCGTTTGTGGGCGATAGGTTTTTTTCCCCCCACTTTTGGCTACTATGAATAATGCTGCAATGAACACTGGTGTGTAAGTATCTGTGTGAGTCCCTGCTTTTAATTCTTTAGGCATAGACTTAGAAGTGGAATTTCTGAATCATGTAGTACAGGAAAAGTTTTTGAGTAAAGAAGAGACACAGAATTATGGTTCAGAAAGATGAACAAGGTAAGCCTGAGTAGATAGGGTGGATTCAGTTGGTTAAAAGCAAGGGAGTTCGAGGGGGAGAGGCAGAGAGACTGAGTTGGGAGCTGTTACAGTGGTCTGCTCCACTACATCAGATTGAAGAGTAATATTCCTCAGCGTGGTTTACAAGAAAGAGTCTGTTCTGGAAGTGAGTACCTTGGCCAAAGATAATTCTTCTTGGGATCTCAAGAGAGAAGCTACCATGGACTTCCCTTGCTTCTCTCTTGCTTTGTCTTTTTACTCTTCACTCCAGTATAATCTCTTCCCTTATTGACTGAAGATTTTACCATAAAGAATGGTGGAATTAAGGAATAACTTGGTGCTTCTCCATCCACACTAAGTACATACACAGTTTCAATAACAGTTGGTCTTTTGAGTAATTTCCAGAGAGTTCACAAGCCACTCTGGTGGATTTAATTGCCACCTCTAATCCCTGAATGTAGATTTTTATTCTCATCACAACTACTCCTAGAAACTACTGGAAGTGGGACATGTCATTATTCCCACTGAATTGAGTTAGAAAGCTTTAAGGCTTTCCCTCAACATTTATTTGCTGTGGGACTTTGTCATGTCATCTATCCGAGTGTCTGCCATTGCACCTTTCATCAATGCTTGCTATTATTGCTGCTGGGTCTATACAAGAATAGATGAATAGAGGAACCAGCAGTTAGCATAATGGCTATGTCGCTGGACTCCCACGTAGTTGACCGCGGTTCACGTCCCGGACCCGGTGGCTTAAAACTCACGCCGGGTGCATGTGCGTGCATGCCCAAGATCCTGAGAGGAGAATGGAGGAGAAGGGATTGCAGCGTGACCATCCCCCCTGGGGGTGATTTCTCGCTTTCTGTCTCTATGTCTCTGTCTGTCTGGTGAGCGCACGCGCCCTGTAGTGAAAAGCCTCTCCCTCTCCCCCCCAAAAAAAAAAGAATAGATGAATGGGAAAGGTCATGGTAACTCAAGACCTCAGCTTTCTAATCTGTGTAGTGGTACCTGGGAGGAGCAAATGTGAAAGTGGATTGAAAATGCCATGGGATGTAGAAAGCGCTCTATAGCTCAATAATGCTCATCAGGATTGATCTACCTACAGCACCTACCATGGTGGTTACCATTTCCTGAGGGAGGCAGACCTAACAGATCTTAAGATAGCTATAAGAAAAATTGTCCATAAACATCTGAAAACCAAGAGGTAACTGAAATGAACCAGCTGCTTCTTGGGAGGTGATGGCAGTGTGGGGGTTGAATTAGAAGATGGTGAAGTTTTTAGTGACTTATGAGAAGGTGGCAAAATTCCAGATAAACATTCCCTAGGGAATCCAGATATCTCATTGGTGTTTCAACATAAGAAGCACATCTTCCATCAAGTCATTTTTTTTTTCACAATCTTTATCTTGGGTGAGATTAAAAAAAAATAACAAATGAAAAATCTGAAAATATTCTTGTCCCTTTCTTTTCTCAGAAGGCAGAATGGAGAAAAGGCACCAGCTCCTCATTTTATGTCTTTTTATGAAACAGTCACATGTTCTCCAAGTACATCAGAAGAACTGACAGTCTATCTTCCTTTGTGTCCAACTTGGGCCATGTTGAAAAAGTTACAGATTACTGTCATTTTATCATAGGAATAGTGAGATGCTCTGCTGATACCATCTATGAGAGATGTAGGAAAATGAGTTGAGTATGCAGTCGAAGTCCTACCTATGGGCCTTTCATGTAGGTAGTTCTGACTGGCTTACTCAGTAATAAATCCCAGCATTCTTCTCTGAGGCCTAGGAGGTAACTAAAGCTAACATGGGTAGATGTGTCCTGCTTTGAAGAAACCCACTATATGAAAAAATCCAAGCTTGATTGGAAAGATTAATTTATAAGATGCTTTTTATAATCTTTTTGTTTTTTAGATTTTTTTTTTTTTTGCCTAGGGCACATGTGCTTGCCAGAGACAGAGAAAGACAGAGACAGTGAGAGGGAAAGTAAAAAATCACACTCCAGGGAGGATGGCAATGCTGCGATCCCTTCTCTTCCATTCGCCTCCCAGGATCTTGGGCACACACGCACACAGGCCCAGTATGATTTTCAAGCCACTGGGCCTGGGACTCGAACCACTGTCAACCATATGGGAGTCCAGCGATGTAACCGCTATGCCATCTGCTGGCCCTGTAATATTCTTGGTAAAATGTTTGCTCTTCTTACTTTTTAAAAAAGTTTCTTTAGAAAAGTCTTATCTTTGATAGAATCCCTTTAGTTAAATCTATATCCACTCTCTCATAAATTGAAAGTGTGATTGAGTTAGATAAAAATGTGAGTTTTCTCACAGTTTCTATGTATAGTCACTTACAAATTATGAACCTGATCTGGAAAGGCTCTATTTTGAATATACTTGTTTTCTTTGCCAGAGCCTTTCAGCACCCTCAGACTACATACTATTCTGAAACTACAAAGTCCCAAAACTATCTGAAGCAATGACTTTGTTCAGCAATGCTGGTTCAACTTCAGTGTATGAATGTACATGTAGTGTGTATATCCAAAGTATAAGTGTTCATTACAGAAAATCTTTTCTGGTCTAATAGAATATCTTTTTGTCCAGTGGCCTGGTGTTCTGGTGTTTCTATGTGGTAGCTCTGGATTCATTGATGTTAAAGTATGTGTTCTGGATTTCATCTCCTAGATCGGTCGCTTGGTTATTGGACAGAATGGAATCCTCTCCACCCCAGCTGTATCCTGCATCATTAGAAAAATCAAAGCCATTGGTGGGATTATTCTGACAGCCAGCCATAATCCAGGAGGCCCCAATGGAGATTTTGGAATCAAATTTAATATTTCTAATGGAGGTGAGTTTATTGCTATTTGAGGACAGACAATTTTATATTCAGTTGGATAAGCCAATACCTGAAGCCTTGGAAGGCTAAGGATTGGTTTTGACCCTTTGCAAGGGTCAAAGGAAGGTCATGCGACTTTCTTGCAAGGAGAAGGTTCTGTGCTTCCTTTCAGTATCGGTGAGGTGCTTCTCATTCTGCTGTACCTAAATATGAAGAATCATGTGTAAATCATCGTGATTGTGATGAGACTTTCTGTAAGAGAAACTCTGGCACTTTGCTGCCTGAATGATGCAATGGTGGATGTGTTAGTAAAGAGGAGTTGAAGAGCTTTGGAGTCTTCATATTTTCATGTGAGCAGCACAAAATGACCTACTATTTGCTATTTGATTTCCAGGTCCTGCTCCAGAAGCTATAACTGATAAAATTTTTCAAATCAGCAAGACAATCGAAGAATATGCAATTTGCCCTGACCTGAAAGTAGACCTTGGTGTTCTGGGAAAGCAGCAGTTTGACCTGGAAAACAAGTTCAAACCCTTCACAGGCATGTTTACTTTTCTGTTCCTCCTGCCCACTCCTTTTTCCAACTCGAGCAGTTTTCCTTTTAAGGTTTGAATAAAGTAGGTGTTCGGCTTTGGAAAAATTGTAGTCACTAGGCTTTGCATATATTAATTAATTGACAGGTCTGGAATGAAGTTTAGTAGTCTAGAGACCTGGGCTTTTGGGGCCCTGCCGTTCATTAGTGGCATGGCATTGGGTGAGTCATTTACAGTTCTCTAGGCCTCAGTTTCCATGCCTGTAAGACAGTCTTGGGAAGATTTGTAAGATTACTTTGTAGCTCACTTTTTTTAAAAATAATTACTTTATTCAACTTTATCCATTCATTCATTTATTTTAATTTGACCATAGAAGGACAGAGTGAGAGAGCGAGAGAGCGAGATAGATAGATAGATAGATAGATAGAGAAAGCGGCCAGGTCCAGGACTCAAACTGCAGTCGGCCATGTGGGAGTCCATCACCCCTAACCACCATGCCACCTGCCGGCCCCATTTGTAGCTCACTTTTATGGAGCTCTTATGTGCTGAGCTTTCTCTGTGCATTACTCCACTTTATTCTCACGGTAACCCTGGGAAGAGAGCACTGTCAATATGGACTATTTACAGATGAGGCAACAAAGACTGTGAGAGGTTAGGTAACAGATTCAAGGTTGCATAGTCAGTGAGTGGTAAAATGAGCATTTAAACACAGGTGTGAATGATTCCCCAGCCTGGGCTTTCAGTTGTTTTTTTCTATCCTACTATTAAATAAAGTCTATCAGACCATTTCTGGGGAGTCCATGCTGAAACTCCCTCCACAAACAACTGTAGTTACATTTTGTTGTTAAATGCCAAAGTATAGCGGTAATTAATGGAATAAATGTCTGTAAAAAGCATTCATATTAGTAAAATGAGCATGAGATAGTTGGCAAGGAGATGTCCTAACATTTATTCAGGCCCCTGGACTACTTTATGGGATGCAGCATTTACTTGAGAACTGACAATTCCATGCTGATAAAGATAAAGACATTCTTGGGGGTTAGAAAACACCAGTATAGTTTTTTTAGGCTCTTCATGTTTGGAAAATGATCAGAAGCCCCTAAAACCCATTATTAATAGTAGGTTCCTAACATTTGCTTTTTTAAAAAATCAGTATATGTGAAAAGTGATTCATTAAAAATATTTTTTCCTTGGTGCCAGTAGGTGGCATAGTGGCTAAGGCGCTGGACTCCCACATGGGTGGCCGTGGTTTGAGCACCAGACTTGTCGGCTTAAAAATCACACCAGATCACACTGGGTGCATGTGTACGTGTTCCCAAAATCCTGGGAGGAGAAGGGATTGTTGTGTGGCCATCCCCTCTTGGGGATGACTTTTCACTTTCCCTCTCACTGTCTCTCTGGCAAGTGCATGCACCCTATGGCAAAAGCCTAAAAAAATAATTTTCCCCGAGTCAGCAGGTGTCATAGTGATTAATGTGTTGTACTCCTACACGCCCTACTGTGGTTTGAGTCCTGAACCCAGCAGCTTGAAAAACACTCTAGGTGCACATGCATGCCCAAAGTCCCAAGAGGGAAATGGAGAAGAAGGGGTTGTGGCATGGCCATTCGCCCTAGGGGGTGCTTTCTCACTTTTCTTCTCTCTCCCTCTGTCTCTGTCTCTCTCTGGCAAGTGCACACACCTCATAACAAAAACTGAAGAAAATAAAAAAGTCCCTGTATGCCCTATCCCAGTTATGTGGCCAAGTTCCTTTGCCTTTCAGATCTTGAGTTTGCTCATGTATAAAACAGGACCAATAATATTTACATCTCTGGAAAATTGTCGGTATCGAATAAGATATCATTTAACAGCCTGGGTACATTAGAGCTGCTCAGTAATTGAAACAGCTATTGTAGTTTTACAGTGGCATAATCATTTCAGAGTACAATATTTGTAAATGTATTTAGGTCTTCCATCTTTAATGTTACTTGTTCTCACAGTGGAAATAGTCGATTCGGTGGAAGCTTACGCTACGATGCTGAGAAACATCTTTGATTTCAATGCACTGAAAGAACTACTTTCTGGTCCAAACCGATTGAAGATCCGTATAGATGCCATGCATGGAGGTATTGAGTCATTGCCCTTCATTCCCGTTGCTCCTGGGTGTGACTCTCTCCTGGGTCATTGCCCTTCATTCCTGTCTCTTCCGTTGTATGTTTGTGATACTTTTAACAAATCTTTTCTCAACTCTTCCTGATGGTTTTTACAGAGTTATTTTGCAACCATTTTAAAACAGTATTCCTGCAGATAGAAATCTAATCGTATGCAGCAAAAATAGTGGAGACATTCCTCATGGTAAGTTAGTGTGAAGGTCAGTGTTTCCACATTAAGAATTAGGTTTTGAGTAACGTGCATTGTTGGTGTGGACTCTCTGCCCCCTCAGAAGATGCTTTACATTCTTCCACATGCCCCATGGATTTCCGGAAAGGGGGCAGGAGCAGCCATTGCTAGATGTGGTGAAAATGCTTCTGAGCCCCACATCCCCTCCCGTGGGCTCCCACGCACATCTTTTCTTAGAAGAGGACCAGAGTGAACTGAAGATTCAGGTCCAAAAAACAGGATGTATATCTTCTTCTCTTCTTCCTCTGGACACTGTGACCAGGTCAGGGAGATGGCAGCCATCACTGTGGAAGGAATATGAGAATTCGTGTGCGCTTAGGTTGTCTGTGGGTTCTGCAATAATTTAGAATTTCAGAATCTTTGAGTGGCAACTGTTTTTCCTTGTGTGGGAATCCAAATACCTGTCTGCTTGGTTGAGGAAACCCTGCCTGTGCTTGAACCATTTCATGGATGCTGTGTAGGGCTTCCTCTATGACTATAAACCATAGCTAGAAAAATCTCCTAGTGGACTGAAATCCATGACTGGGACATCTCTCCTGGGTCTACTAGCTGGCCCTCCGGGTCTCATGGACTGGGTTTACTTCCTTTTCATACAAAAGCAATTCTGTCATTCTAAACCATTCCGCAGACCTGTACCGAGCAGCTCCTACCCATATGCTTGGGGAATAGGCAGGGTCTGGACAGATGACTTCTTCAAAGAGTTTGCAATGCCTGGGAGATAAGATGGGTAAAAACCTAAAAACTACCAGGCCAACAAAATGAGGGTTAAATAGGATTTCAGGTATTCTTTTTGGGTTATAGAAGAAGGCACACTTCGATTAGGGGTACCGGTTTTATAATAGACCATTCATTTAATGTACAGCGTATTCATGCTGGGAAAAAGTCATTGTGCAAGCTGTAACGATAAGCAAGCAAGCAAGCAAGAAAGAAAGAAAGAAGGAAGGAAGGAAGAAAGAAAGAAGGAAGTAAGGAAGAAGGAAAGAAGGAAGTAAGGAAGAAGGAAAGAAGGAAGTAAGGAAGAAAGAAAGAAAAGAAAGTTTCCTGGAAGAAGTGGTGGCCAGCTCAGCTCCCGGTAAAGAGAGAGCTAGAGCAATGGTAGAAAATCAGGTGGCGGTCATTCCCAGTGGAGGCAATGGCTGTAGCAAAAGCACAGAGGCTTAAAACTTATCACAGTAGGGGAATGAGGGACGCCTGGGCTGGCGTGAGAGTGGGCTTGTGGTGGGGTATAGAGCACAAGGGGCTGGTCACGAACTTCTTTCCTCAGTCTTTCCTCCATCAATGCCCATTTCTATATCGCTCACAGCCCTGGCTGCCTTGACATTCTGTGATGTGCTGGTAGCCTGCTTAGAATGTGACTCCTAATGGGAGACGTGTATTCTGTGCTGCTCTGACCTCTGTGGCATTTATTGGAGTTAATATCAATACCTTCCTTGATAAAAACACTTCATAGCATTTTCGAGATGAGTGTTGTTGGGAGTTATAAAAATGTCACTGTCAGTCTGGCCCATCACCTCATGGTTAAAGAAGCCATATCCCACGAGGCCTCCCACTGTTTGAACCCCAGCCCTGGAGGCTCAGCCCTGGGTGCATGCTCATGTGTGCTTCAAATCCTGACAGTATATACTAGGTTGTCAGAAAAGTCATGATGTATTTTTCTTTTTCTGTGCAAAAATGCATCGTGATTTTCCAGACAAGCTCATAGATGTGGAGAAGGGATTGTGGTGGGACCACACCACATTGGAAGTGTTGCTGCTCATAGATGTGGAGAAGGGATTGTGGTGGGGGGACCACACTGGAAGTGTTGCATTTCCCCTCTCGCTCTTTCTCTGTCTCTGTCTCATTGGTGAGTGAGCACGTGTGCCCTCTGGCAATTGAAAAAAAGGCACTGTTGCGACCAGCAGTTGGCGTAATGGCTATGTCGCTGGACTCCCATGTGGTTGACCACAGTTCGAGTCCTGGGTCCGGTGGCTTAAACTCACACCAGGCGCGTGTACATGCATGCCTAAGATCCCGAGAGGAGAATGGAGGAGAAGGGATTGCGGTGTGACCATCCCCCCTGGGGGGTGATCTCTTGCTTTCTATCTCTCTGTCTCTGTCTGTCTTTCTGGCGAGCGCATGTGCCCTATAGCAAAAACCTCTCCCCCCCCAAATAAAAAGGCACTGTAAAAGTATGTGAATGGTTTCTCCCATTGTTGTTACAATCTTTGTTTGTTTATATTTTTTAAAACCAGTTTGTTAGATAGCTCGATATAATAGAAAGATAAGAGTTCTGAATCCTAGCTCCCACTCCTACCAGCAGAGTAAATTGAGGCAAATACTTTAATCTGAGAACCTCAGTTTTCTTACTTATAAATTGGAAATGATGATCGCAATGTCAATGTTTATCACATACGTGCTGGTACTGTTCTCTGTGCTTCCTCTCTGTGAACTCATGTAATCCTCCTATCAACTCTCTTAGGGTGTTAGTACTGGGAAGAAGAATGCCATGAGCAAAAATAAGAATGTGTAAAATGTACTTAGGGGTTAGAGGACAAATAAGTATCCTCACGTCACAGACGGGAGAGACCAAAACTTAGAGAGATTAAATAACTTCCTCAAGGTTGTGGCCAGTGATGGGCAGAGCTGGGATGTGAACTCAGACACTGATTGCAGAGTCCAGGCTCTTAAGCACTAAGCTATACCACTTAGTAGGCTTTTCTGAAGGACTGAATGAGAAAAGAATTGAGAAGTACCTGGTACAGGTGTGTGGTAGGGCCTTCCCTTCCTTTCCCCACTCTTCCCTTCCTTTCCCCACTCT